GATGAGGATGATTTATCAAGTGGTGATGAAGAATCTAATTCTGGTAAGTGGGAACTTAGATCTGGTTGTTGTTTCGATACAAACATGTTTGATGTCCACAGGCCTGGATCTCGTAAGTTAGGGTTACTCTCTGTTGAATTTCTGCTTTGTTGATTCAAATTTATAGGAAAGGTGAATAGAAATTATGTTTTTATTGTTTACAAATCCATATATCTAGATCTGCATCAGAATAGGCCTAGACCTAGACCTTGATCCAGATCTAAATCATAGATCTAGATCTACCAAAACACTGTACTGTAGGACTGTAGGTAGATCTGATCTAAGATCTAGATCTAGTCTAGTTCTAGATCTAGTGTCTAGATCTAGCACTAAACTTAAGTTTCTTTGTCTTCAGATGTTATACTCTATCTATTTAAATTAATTATTGGTTTGTATATTCATTTATCTTGTTTTGTTGATATAAAATAGTCGAGCAGTCTCTTGTAAATCGGAGACTGTCGTTGCTCATCAATGATTCGATAACACGACACAACAGCAATAAAAACACTTCGCAATACATAGAAATCTAGATCTAGATATCTAGCTAACCGTACATGGTGAAACAGTTTCATTAATTTCTCTTTTTGTTTGGTTGTAATTCAATTTTAAAATGCACGCCGTCTTTGTTTTCAACAAGTAAGCTATAACTTATAACATAGATTCTATATTCATCACGTCAAGTGAAATTCACATTCAACTCTTCAAGTCAAGTAATTTTTAAAAATATTATTTATCACCTCAGATATCACTACAGACAGCACTGTGCGTGTGGAGGAGGAAGAGTTTCAGTTAGTGACGAGTAATCTCTCTGAGTCGATCGTCCCTTTGGACCGTGATGATGTATCACAGACATGTTCAGCTGGCCAGTCTGAGGAACAATCTACGAACATTCTTTGCTCATGTGCATCTGGTGCTCCTTGCCACTTCAACTTTTCAAGTGAGGATATAGAACACTGCAGAAACCAGTATGCTCAACTGACCACCTCCGAACTAGACATTGCTTTGCTGGCCAAGATTGAAAGTGGCATTCACTTAGACAGCGAAACAAGAAAGTCGAGAAAAGGTCAGCAAACAAAACGGAAGTGTTTCGCACAGATTATTACCATCGTGGTGTTAAAGTGTGTAGGGAATTCTTTAAATATCTTCACTGTGTTGGTCAGGACAGGTTGACAGCTTTGATCAAGCATTATAAAGTAAGTGGTGTTGAGCCTAGGACTCATGGAAATTCGAAAAGGCTACCCAAGAACGCGTTGTCTTACACGGATACTAGGGCTGTGGTGGATTTCATTCTGAACTTTGCTGAAGTCCATGCAATTCATCTTCCTGGACGCACACCCAAGCATTGGGTTTCTGATGTACAGCTCCTCCCCTCTGACTGCACTAAGACGACCGTGTACAACCAGTACAAAGCTGCTGTCGCTGCTAAATCTGAAAGTGAAGGGCAGCATTACAGGATTGTGGAACTTCGTACATTTCAGCGACTGTGGCAGAAGTTACTTCCGTTTGTTCGCACAATGCCTCCTTCCAGTGATCTTTGCTGGACGTGCCAACAAGGAACCTATCGCATTGGTTCTTCTGCAAACAGGGATGAGGACAAAATGAGGGTCCTGCAAGAATTAGAGATGCACCTCTCGAAAGGGCCTACTACAAGCAAGTCTGCGAGGAAGTGAAACGGAATTTGCCAGCTGACCTACCCCTGGGAAATCACCCTGCTTGTTCATTTGAGGGTACGCACCATGTGTCTTTCGACTTCGCACAGCAGATGCACTACCCACAAGATCCCCAGCAACCAGGCCCTATATATTTCAAGACACCTAGAAAGTGTGGTTTATTTGGGATCAACAGCGAAGCTTGTGGCATTCAGGTCAATTATCTTGTCGACGAAGCCCACAGCACTGGCAAAGGAGCCAACGTCGTTATTTCGTATCTCCACGACTACCTGGAAAATCACAGCCTTGGGGAAACGAATCTGCATCTTCACGCAGACAACTGTGCAGGGCAAAACAAAAACAATCAGATGATGTGGTACATTCTGTGGAGGTGCCTGACAGGTCGGAATCATGTCATTCGTCTCAGCTTCTTGATAACTGGACATACTAAATTCAGCCCTGACGGAGGTTTTGGCCTCATCAAGCGGAAATTCAGGAGAACAAAAGTTGACTGTCTGCAGGATATTCTTGACGTAGTCAACTCGTCATCCCAGATGAATGTTGGGAAGCTGATTGGAACTGAAAATGGACCGACAGAGGTCCCAACGTACGACTGGACTACGTATCTGACACAGTTTTTTTTAAAAATCAAGGGGATCAAATCATTCCACCACTTTCGCATGGACAGGACTGGATCTGTGAAGGTGAAAACCAATATCGACGCCGAAGAACAGAGTTATGACATCGTGAAGAAAATGCCTGAACAGAACACCATGCCAGAGATCATTCCAAAGACAGGTCTCAGTGCTCAGAGGCAGGCCTACCTTCACAAAGAAATACGCCCCTTCGTTGCAGCAGACAGGCGTGACATCGTCACCCCTTTC